CCACTGAAGCCAACTCACCACCAGGTAGTGGTCAGTGGAAAGCTCAGCCCCTCTCTTCACCCGAGTGTCCAAGACATACGGCCGCAAGTCCGATGAAACGATGACAAAGTCGATCATCGAACTGTGGCCTAGGGTGTCCTGGTGCCATGTGCACATATGGACACCCTTATGCTTGAACATAGTGTTCATTATGGACAATCCATGACGAGCACAGAAGTCCAACAACAGAACACCACTCGAGTTCAGATCAGGGCAGCCATTCCTCCCAACCACGCCCCAGTGAGACCTGAACGTTCGTCCTAACCCCTAAATCCCTCAATCACTATATAGAGCTGGGACTATATAGTTGACTTTACACTGAACTCAGTTAACTGACCATTCAGACAGATGATCACCACGTTTCACTCCCCGTTGGTCAAGGGACTCCACCTCCCTGCGGGCTGCATGACCATCCCTCCCTGTATGGTGCGTGCAACATTTTTGACAACAAATTTCATGATACTTTGCGAGGAAACTCTCAGAAAGCATTCCGGTATATTTTTGCTCATTTAGTGACCATGGATGATCACTACTTTTCAAGGTCCATTGTGGGAAATTGCAACTAGACATCTACTAGACATTAGGACACACATTTAAAATGGTGTAACCAAAGCCTAGTAAACTAGCTCCACCCATCAGCGGTCAAAATACTTTTTTGCCTGCGAGTTTTCGAGCCTCGCTCAATGCCCCAGGCTTTAGAACTGGTGGGCCAATCACAATGCAGAGATGTGTTTTGAATTTCTGGATGCAAAGCGGGCAGGGTTTTGAGCGCGTGACGACAAAGCTGCACGATGCTGGAGAAAGCACAAGGAAGATGGTACAACTATTGAACAGTTCTCATTTGACTCTGGTTTGGAATCAGTTTTGGAAGGATTAGACTTGGGGTTTTCGTTGCAATGTGAGCAGGAAGAGTCTCTACACTCATTCATTTTTAAGAAGGACGTATTTTCTGTTTTACCGACGGGTTTGTTTACACTCCCCCAACAGCTTTCTGTCGCACTTAAGACATCACAGTCAGTTGCGCTCATAGGTCAGAGTGTTGGCCAATAGGCACAGAAATGGTTTTACAAACAACGGGTTGTTCAAATGAACAATCTTCCAAGGTCTCATTCATTGGGGCCAGAATAAATTATACATTTAATCTCCCATTTAGTCTGGTTTATCAGGCTAGTGTAACCACAGTCGGACAAAGTCTTTGTCTTGTTTTGTTTTTTCAAAACAGAAAAACAAAGAACCATACACATATTATTATATATCTTTTATATATCTACTTCGGTTGCCCTGCTAGTTCTGCGTGGGACCCGAAAATTAATAACCAAAATTTCATATCATGTTAAAACTTATTGATACTGTGGCATTATAATATAAAGTGACATAGCATGTAGTCATTTCTTTTTTGTGAGGTGTTTTCTTACCCTTAGTAACTGGTAATCTCCTCTGAATTCTGAAGGCTACCGGACCTCTGATGGTAAATCCGAGGTGAAAGTAAACCTGTCCTGATCTGCATAGGCTATCTTTTCGGTTGGCCTCGAGTTCAACTTCAGTACCTCTGAGTTTTGCATAGACTCGGTAGTCATGCACAACTCCTTCAAATTTGAGAAGCCGTTCTTCAACTGTTTGATCTCTGAAGATGCTCTCATTCCTCCAGTTTATGTTTGACTCTTGAAGTGCATCTTTAGTCCACACAATCTCAAGTTCCCGGCGTTGAACGAATCGGCTTAAGCCTTTGCCTGGCCCAATAAAAAACAGGGGTCGTAGGTATCTTGAGCTAAACATGGTCTTGTATTCTCGATCATAAGCATTACTTGCATGCTTGATTAACTGATTGAGATCAGAGACTGGTTTGTCCTCATTATCTGCAGGCCAAAACAGAAGCAAGCATAAAATGTAATACTCTGCTTGTGTGGCAGAGGATGGTGGCTTTCTTTCTTTAATAGTGTCTTTATAATCATAATTGAATGTAGCTCTGTTTTTGTTTGAAAGCATCATCTGGGCAAAGATAAAGTTGACCAATGCATGTGTATTAGAACATTTTCTTTGGTGGATTCCCTTCCACAAATCTACGATGTGCTCAATGTCTGATGTACAGGTTCTGTCAAGACATGAGAGAACCCCAGCAGTGTTGAAGGCCAGTTTTTGTTTGAGTTTTTGAAAGGTCTGGTGGTCTCTGTCATCGTGTTTAGGGATGGAATTGCCAACATACTTTTTGTAGCATTCCGCAGCTTGTTTAGAAACATAAGCCTTGTCATTTCTAGAAACAGACTGTGAGTAAGTGAGGAAGTTGTCAAAAAATTCAAATTTTTTTTCAACATTCTCCCTCAGATTCTCTATTAGATATCTGAATCTAAAGAGTTTGTTGTCGCCAAGTGAATTCAACACCAAGCCCATGGACACATTCTTTGTTAGCACTGCCTCCCAGTCTTGATTTTGGCGGACCAGGCTGTCAAACAGAATGTTACAGACCTGTAGGAAACCAAACTGCCCTCTGGTATTTAAACCCCATAGCACTTTGGATTTATCATCTTCTGGCATGTTCCTTCTATGCTCCTCTTCTGCAAGCTGTTCTTCATGCTCAAAAGCTTTGATGGCCTTCTGGGCCAACTGCAATAGTTCTCTTGGCTCCATTAACAGCTTCTTCTCTCTTAGATGATTTTTATGAACTTGGCCCAGTGTGTCAGCAATAAAAGATTTCTTGGGCTCACGTTCTATTGCCTTCTTTGCCCAAATTTCTCCCTCCTTGTAGTCTTTAAGTTCTCCATAACAAAATCTGGCAAGTGCCTGGGGGAAAAAAGAGTTCTTATCAAACTTGTTTGATGCAACCTTTAGGACTGATGCACTCTGATTTTTGTCTTCCATCTTGCTGATCTCTAAAATCAGATTAGAAAACTTTTCCAAATCTTCAACCATTCCATCTTTTTTGTTTTCTCGTTTGGTCAGCAAATCTTTGATGAACCCAAGCAAATATGGAGAAACGTCATCTGTGCAAAAACCGTTCAAAAAGTTTCTTATTGTGTCACTTCTGGCTACTCCTGCATTGGCCATAAGTTCAGTGCAGTGCTTTGCGATCATTGGGTGAGCCATCCTGATTTTCTTATCACTCCTTTTGTCATTTTGGAAAGAGAGAATGAGATGGCTAAAAGGTTGCATTAGGGTCATCAATGAAATGTCATCTGGCAGTGAGTCGTTGTGTCTGAGGAAGTCTAAGCACTCAGACTCCACCAGATATGAACCTGGTACATAGGCATTCAGCAATGAAAGGAATGACGCCAGCTGGGTCTTCAAGGGTTTATGTTTCCTTTCAATGGTGCTAAAGACAGCACACACTTCCTGGATATAATTATGTGAGAAATTAGTTTGTAATATGTTGAAACCATGGAACTGGGAGGCTTTAGCCCCATAAATCCGGTGGAGGTCCTCCTTTTTGGAGTCCAGTTCTTTCTGTTCATTGTGTGAGAGACTTCTTTTGAGGATAACATAGTCGCTGTCACGATCCTTTAACCCTTCTTTTTCTCTGTAATATTCTGCTTTGAGGATGGCATAGTCACTTCTCACACAGTTGAATAAAATCACCACAGGTATGTCAACATCGATCTCCTGTCCTACAATCTCTGCCATTATGCTGTCTTGAAGTTGCTCCAAATTGAATTCATCATTAATTAAAAGCAGCACAGTGTTGAGTTCATATTTGCTTCCTCCAATGTAAAGATGAACCACCTCTCTCGCTATCTTTGAGCTCTCTAAGGGGGAACCTGTTAAAACAGCACATCTGAAGGTTTTTCTCATGTCCCACAACACCTGCATGGCCAGCGTGGTCCCCCCACATCCTTGCTGGTGGAACAGTTTAACTGCTGAAGTTCCAGATTGGTTCCTCCGTTTATGTACCTGCTGCACAAGTCTATTATATCCATCTCTTTTGATTAATGACAAACCAGTGCCGCTTGAGTAAGACAGTTCACTAATGTGAAAGTTTAGCCATTCAGGGGGTGCTCCTCTGAAAAAACTCTCCTCTGTCTGCTGAACAGTTTCTTTGTCTATGGTGTGTTCTTCAAACTGATTTGGATAAACGACATCCAAAACAGTAAAGTAATCTATGATTTCCTCCAAGTAAATGCTGTTGCCTGTAGAAGTGGACAGTGCCATTCTTCTTGCCATTGTTCCTTTTGTTTGTTCACCTATAGACAAAGACATTTAAAGAAGATATTTGAAATAAGTAAAGCTTGTACAGCTAATTCAAAACCATTAAATATATTGTATTACTAAAGTCAGCCTGGTTATCACAAATATAGGCTAAAATTGGAGGATTCTACTCAGTTTTGAAAAAATTTTCATAATATGGGAGGGGAGAAACAAAACTCATACTTTATCATTAGCAGGGTACAGTTTGAGACTTCTAAAAACATCACCTTACCGCACATAAGCAGACACCGATACAACATGACATTTTGCAGGATTAATGGTTCATTTAGGAGTCTTTCTTAATTCTGTCAGCTCACACTAAACAATCTGTAGTAGGATTGCTGATCGGAGGGCAATAACCATCTTAAAGTATCAGAAATATATAGGGATGGGTAAAAAATCTATTTAATTGATTTTGAATCGATTCCTTTACATTTTTGCAAAATGGATGCCTAGGGAATGAGATTGATTAATTTTATAGTGACCCGCGTGACGTTCACATTCAAATAAGCAGGAAATATGCACTCAAGATTACTTCAAGCCAGACAGCTGCAAATATACCCAATAAGTTGACTGAAGACATTAACAAATGGGGCTGACCAGAAACCACCCTGTAGTTGTTACCGACAACACTGCAAAAATGGTTTGTGCAGTGAAGATAATGCAGCTCATGCATGTCTGCTATGTCACACCTGCTTGCTCGAGTGAGGCTTCACTTTTTCACTTTTCACAAACAAGTTTGCACTTTTGAGACAGTTTTTTTCACATCTCATTTTTAAACTGTCTGATTTAAAAGTTTGTACTTTGTGTTTAATGTGACAGGAAAAAACAAAATACATGAGTATTTTGAAACACAGTTGAACCACTTTCATTATGGTTCAACAATTCAGGACTTTGGCGAAAATACCCAGCCCTAGAAATATATATTCCCAGCTGGCTGGGAATTGAACATAACATAAAAACACAACAGTGCTTTTCTGAAAAAAGCTTTCTAATTCAACTGCTGATGGGTTTTAAGTAAGAGTTCTAAACTGTGAAACTAAATGCTAATGCTCAATGAGCCTGACTCAACAATCTGTACTGTATGTTACTGTCTGCTTACTTTTATTTATTTTTTTTTTTGTCTGAAGAGTCAAGCTGCTGTCTGACTGGTTAGCATCATTAGCTCCAAACTAACTCATCTTCGGCCCCACGGTAGAAGCCATTTTGTGAATTTAGAACCTACTGTTCTAGTTGGGTCACCCCCAGAAGCCATTGTCCTGGTGATGTCTGAGCTAACACCCTTTGTTCCAGTGCTGCTACATGTTAATGCATATCTGATCAATTTCTCACTGTAAAACCAAACAAAGACTCACTGCTTTGATCACATTGAATGTCTTTGCATCAGTGTTATCCAATACAATAATACTGTGATAGGGATTATTAGCTAATTAAGGTACCATATATTAACCCATGGTATTTGTGGTCATTTATGCAGTGAGGCAGACACCCTGTCTACTTTTAAAACTAGGTCATGAACAGTCCGGCAGGGTAGATTTCAGTCCAGTCAGACGTTTCTCCTTGGCTCTACCTTGGCCCTACTGTAGCACTACCTTCCTCATACCTTATCAAAATTGCCAGTTATCCTAAGCTATTTTCTATATTTGTGCTGCTATGTGTTTTTACTGCTAGAAGATAGAAGAATGGTAGAGAACTATGATCGAAAACCACTTTTTCTCATTCTGCTTTATTCAATTCTATTCCAAAAAAAATAAAATTACAAACAATCCACTGTTTTTAATTTTATTTTTTTCAAAAGACTATGACCTGGATGACTGAGAATCTTCACCAGCATTAAATTCTATTCTATTACTTTGTGGAACTAAAATAGAAAAATTGAATAGAACTGAACTATGACACAAAACATGAGATAGAATAGAACTATGACACGAAACATGCAGGCAGCGGCGTAGGAAGCGGGGGGACGGGGGGGACATGTCCCCCCCAATATAAAAGCCAGGTGGATATGTCCCCCCCAAAAATTGTACCGCAAAATATTAGATTTTGACATTTTTTTAACTAGCGTGCTTTTATTTTGAAGGCGCAGCATAGCGTTACGTCACTGTACTCCCCCTCCCCTCTCTGAACTGCTGAGTGTTTGAGCACTCAGTCAGCAGGGAGGGAAACGGCGACACAGAAATCAGAAACTTGTGAAAGAGGTAAAATAGTCTGTCGGGATGCTGCTATGAATATTGCCCATTTATAACGTTTTGTTTTTAGTTCACTTTCATATATAGAAACTGAATCTTTTTGGTTTAGTCATCTTAGTCTTGTACGAAAGAGGATTAGGGCCACTGGAAAAAAAAAAGTTAACTGATTTTTAAATTTTTTTTTAGTTTAACATGGGTAAAAAAGTAAGAATTCTGACTTTTCTCAGAATTCTGACTTTTCTCAGAATTCTGACTTTTTTCTTCTGACTTTTTTCTCAGAATTCTGACTTTAATCTCAGAATTCTGACTTTTTTCTTCTGACTTTTTTCTCAGAATTCTGACTTTAATCTCAGAATTCTGACTTTTTTCTCAGAAATCTGACAGATGATTAATATTTCTAATCAATTTACAGTGTTTTTATTTTTTTGGGGGGGTACTATACAGATATATAAAAACAAGAAGGTCTAACTAAAAAATAACCAAAATATATGTTTAGAGTAAAGATTGACTACTTGTGTTTACACAAGCACACTATTTCAAATCTGCTGAACTTGCTGTGAAAGAAAATGTAAAATATACGTATAAAGAAATATAACAGGAAGTACTGCTAAAACATAAACTAAATGTTAAATAATGTAGATATTGGTTTAAAAAAATTTTCAGATTTGGAAATTTGGAAGGAATACATAATTTTGAAATTAATCAACAAATCTGGTAAAAAAAAAAACAACAAAAAGAAATAAAAAATAAAAGTTGCACTTTTTTACTTGAGGAATTTGTTCAATAACTTCATAATTATGAGTTTAACTAGTTGAAGGTAATGCTACACTTCTCTGCTTCCTGTCCTGCTCATAAAAGGTAAATATTATAAACCCACCATTCATTTTCTACACTATTTGGAAAACACAACACAAATGTAATATAACAAAATTATGTTAAATTACAATCATGTTAGCATCAAGCCATAGCCATGTCTGTTTTAGAGACTAGCTCTCTTGTTTTAATGATCTTCTGCTCCTCCATTAATGAGGGGACCCCTCGGGCATGTAAAAAGTTGCCTAATTCCATCATTTTCCACCAATGTGTCACTGGCCACCTCAAACAGCTCACATCTTTGTAGTGAAGCTGAGTGCTCCGCATCTCTTCCTTCATGGTGCCCATCTACATTAAGATCCAAAATTCTGAGATTAAAGTCAGAATTCTGAGATTAAAGTCAGAATTCTGAGAAAAAAGTCAGAATTCTGAGAAAAATAGTCTTAATTCTGAGAAAAAAAGTCAGAATTGTGAGGAAAAAAG